ATGCGCGCGGAACTAAAGCGAGAACCAACTTTTGAACCGGTATCGCCCTCCATGCGTGAAATTGCCGAAAACTTTGAGGACAATTGCGTGCGACTGTTAAGCGAGAACCACGTTTTGAGCAGGCACCGCCCTCCATCCGTGAAAAGCTCTTGCACTTCTGAAAACGGACGTGCGCGGAACCCTACGGCGCTCGCCACTTTTTTGAACAGGTACCGCCCTCCTTTCGGCGGTGGACACACCCTTTCTGTAGCAGACCACCCTTCAATGAAACGGCCTGGGACCGACCGACGGACCAGGAGCCGCAAGCATCACGGCCGCGACGCCCTCTCGCAGACCGCAAAACGGCCCATTCCTCCATCGACGTGCCAGGGCAAGACACAGAGATCAGCCTTCGAGCGAACCTGCGGCGACCTTGGCGGCGCAGCCGACCGGCGCGCGGCGGCTCCTGCCGCTGCGACGCCACGGGCGTCACGCGCGCCCGCGACGCCCCGGCCAGCGGCGCGGCGCGGCGCGCCCCGCGGCGCGGCGCGGCGGCCGCCGCGGCGCCAACGGCCGCAGCGCCTGCCGCCGCGGTGGCGAGCAGCCACGGCGAGGCCTCGCGGGATCCTCCTGCCGCTCCGCCTTCTGCACCCTCCCCGTCCTCCTCCTCGCCCTTTCCTCCTTCTGCTCCATGCATTCCTCCCGCCTCCTCCTCCGCCTTCATTCCTTCCCTTCTTCCTCCTTCCTCCTTCCTCCGTCCTCCTTCCTCCTCCGTCTGCCCTGTGTCGTCCTGCCTCCTTCCTCGTTCTCCTCCTCGTTCTCCTCCTCATCCTCGTCCTCCTCCTTGTCCTCGTCCTCGTCCTCCTCCCTCTCCTCGTTCGCCTCCTCGTCTCTCCTCCTCCTCCTCGTGCTGCTCCACTCGCTGCGCCAAAAATACGGCAAGAATGTTTCAGTCATGTTCGGCATCCGGGGGCCCTCCACGGGCCCCAGGACCGTCACAGACGGCTCAGGCTGAAAATCCGGCCCTGGAAGGGGGTCTCGACCTCCAAGGGTCCCCGTTGCCAGCAGACACGCGGCGATCGAATTCGGGGTCATCTCCCTCCTCCGCCATCGCGGGCCATCACGAGGACGGGACGCGAGAGCCTCTCCCATGTCGGGCTGGAAGTCTGCCCCCCGGCGGAAAGGGTGTCCCCGCTCGGCTGGAGGCGGCCCTGGCCAGGCATGGCCTGGGGCAGTCTCTCTCTCGCTCTCTCCCTCTCTTTCGTGGGCTTGCGTTCCACCGCCACCACCAGAAGTAGGAGGGGGAGGGGGTCCTCCTCCTCCTCCTCCTCTTTCTTCCTCCTCCTCCTTCTCGTCCTCCACCTCCTTCCCTCCCCCCAACCTATGGTGGTGGTGGACAACCGGCCCATCTCTCTTTGTGCACACTGTGCTGAGCCACAAGCTCCAACAGCTCCCCCGACCCTCACGGGCAGCCCCCCCCGCCCTCCGCCTCGAGAGCACCTGCAGACTCCGCAGGAGCGCGGGGAGGTCGTCGGGCGCGGGATAGCCAAGAGGCGAGCCCAAGGCGTGTGGCCGGCCGCTCGGCGGCCGCCGCGGCACAGGGTGGGGAAGAGTGAGGATGCCCTCGAAGAACTGGCGGTGATGGTCGCGCGGCTGGCCGAGGGCCAGGAGGACGACGAAGCAGGTGAGGAGGATTCGGTGGCAACTCACGGGAGCCTCCCATCCCATCTCGTTGGCTCTCGCGGATCGACGCTAGTCGACGCTGCTCCACACCAAGTCAGCGCTAGCTCATCGACTACAAGGCGCTCATCGACGCTGACGCACCCTAAAAGCGGAGTAACAAGGGTATACAGGGCTCCCATGCTTTGCCACCAAAGGAAGAGGAGGGCGCACGAGGTAAGGAGGCCAAGGAGGAAGGCCGTGTCTGCGGAGCACCTGGAGTCGGTGATTTACTGATGGGGGTCAATCCAAACCCGCGTCCGTCGGGCTCTGCAGGATCCTGCAAGATCCTGCAGGCTCCTCCTCTGTGCAACCAATGCTCTGCGGAATCCTGCAAGATCCGGCGCTCTAAATGGCCCCCGTTGGCATTGATAGAGGACTCCCACATGGGGTCCGAGTAGATGGTGATCGAGGAACGCACCGCATCGCTGATGCATCGCTGATGCATCGCCGATGTATGTGTGATGCATGTGCGATGCATGTGCGATGCATGTGCTATGCATGGGCGACGTCGGCGTCGCCGACGTCGGCGTGGAGAAAAGCGGGCTCCCTATCGAGTCGCATCGCCGATGCAGTCGCGGTGCGGCCCGATTCTCCGACCCCATCTACTCGGTCCCCACCTGGGAGGCGTAGAACTCGCCATCGCTCGGACGTCCATTCCCGTGAATGTTTCGGCTTCGCGCGTCTCTGTTTCGCAAGTTGAACACACATGCGCCTCGAGGATCCCTGCCGAGAAAAAACGCACACATCCGAGCGATGCCAAGAGGAGGAGGAGGAGGAGGAGGAGGAGGAGGAGGAGGAGGAGGAGGAGGAGGGAGGAGGAGGAGGAGAAGCAGGTTGGGGGGGAGGAGGAGGAGGAGGAAGATGAGGAGGAGGAGGAGGAGGAGGAGGAGGAGGAGGGGGAGGAGGAGGAGGCGCAGGTGGGGGGAGGAGGAGGAGGAGCCCCAGGGCCCCGACAGAGGCTCCTCGGCCGCCGCCCGGGGGAGCGGCGAATGGGGAGACTCGGGCGCCCGTGCCTGCTTCGCCCCTCGCGGCCGAGGCCCCGCGGGGGGCCCCCGCGGCGGGCCTCCGACGACCGCCAGATCGGCTGTGGCCAGAGCGCCCTCGGTGGCCCGCCTCCTCCTCCGCGATCCCCCGCTCCTGACGCTGGCCTCAGGTCGGGCCTGTCCCCCTACAGGCGGACTGTGGACGGAAAACTGAAACGCAGCCCCCCAAAACTCAAACAAGCGCTCCACAATACTCCAACAATAGTCCCCAGACTAGTTCTGACTATGTTGGGATCTTCCCCCTGTAGAGGGACAGGCCCGACTTGACGCTAGCCAGACTCCAAGCAGGACGCTTCTCGATCCTCCTCCTCCTCCCCTTCCTCCCGGATCTTGGACCCCCCCGACCCTCGTCCTCGATCCTCGATGCGTCGCCTGGGGGCCCCTGACATCCTCCGATCTGGTTTGCTTCCACCCGCCGCCCCAGAACTTCCGACCCCCATGGAGGCCAGCACTGCCCCCCGGATCCGCTTTTGATGGTCCCCTGGGCACTGGCGCAGACGACGTCGGCGCTGGCGCTGATGCTGCCGGCTGCGACGCTGACGACGAAGCCGACGCTGACAGCGTGCAACGCTGACGACGACGAAACCGCCATATCCGACGAGACCCGATCCGCGGTGGCGGCGCAGAGCGCCTCAGGAAGCCCACTTCAACATGGGGCGAACGGATCCTGAGGGAAACGGGTCCTGGACCCTGGGGCCCTCCCCCCAGGACGAAACTTTCATCACGAGTCGCTTTGGGCCCCGAGAGCCCGAAAACGTGGAGAAACCTCAGGAGCCGTTTCCCTCAGGAAACGCTTCCCCCGTGGCGATACGGTGAGGCCCGAGAGCCAGCATCAGCCTCGACCTTCCAGCCTCCGATCCCCGACGAAGACGACGGCGACGACGAGGGCGCCCCCAGAAGCCCAGGGGACCTCTAAGACCTCGACTCTCGCAGCTCGATCTTCGACGACGACCTGCGTTGACGACGACGCTGGCGCCGATGCTGACATTAGAGTCAACCCGTAAAAAACATGATAAGAATGCAAGGGCCTTGGAAGGCCATGTCGACACTTTGCGAGCGGGGCGCGGCAAGCGAAAGCAGACAAGGATGGGCCGAAGGGGAAGGATGAAGGGGCAGCCTTGGATAATTGATCATCCTTACTATGCGGGTTGACTGTACCGCCGACGACGACGCTCACGCCACCGCCGCTGACACGAACGATGACGGCGACGATGCTCCCGACGACGGTGATGTCACATAGACTCCGATACCCCCGGAGCCCTCCCGTGGACTGTCCTCAAATTGGTCCAAGCACGAGACAGCAGCGCGGCCCCAAGAGCCGAAAGCCAGGAGACACACTCGACGACGACGACGACGACGGGCGGCGACTACGACGGGCACATCCGACGACGACGACGAGGGACGACCCCCCGAGAACGACGCCGCCCGACGACGCCGCCCGTCGACGACGGACGACGAGGCCCGACGACGTCGAAGACGGCGTCCGACGGCCGACGCCGCCGCCGCCGACGACGACGACGACGCCCGACGCCCGACGACGGCGACGACGACGACCGCGCAGTCGGAGCAAGAAGTCGAGATGCCCTCCAGCCCGCGGCCGCGAGGGCCTCGGGCCTCGTCCCTCGACCTCATCGGCCTGGCCACATCCCTCGGATGGCTGCGGCGGCGACGGCGGCGACGGCGGCGGCGTTGCCGACGGCGGCGACGGCGGCGGCGGCGACGACGGTGGCGGCGACGACGGCGGCGGCGACGGCGGCGGCGACGACGACGACGGCGTTGCCGAGGGCGGAGGCGGCGGCGACGTTGGCGAGGGCGCGGCGTTGAAGAGGGCGGAGGCGGCGGCGATGACGACGACCAACGACCGCTTGCCACGAGGCCCGTCTATCCGCAGTGGCGGCAGCGGCGACGACGACGGCAGCGCTGACGAGGGCGCGGCATTGAACAAGGTGGAGGCGGCGGCGACGACGACCGACGACAGCTTGCCATAAGCTCGCCATCGCTCGGACGTCCATTCCCCGTGCGGTTTTTCGGTTTCGTGTGCGTACTTTTCGCAAGGTGACCTCAAATGCTCCTCGATGGTCCTTGCGGAGAAAAGACCCGTCGCTAATCCACGTCCCCTTGATCCATGTTTGCGATCGCCTGACGAGAGGCCGAAAACGGCGACCAACACTCCAGAACCCCTCCCCCTCAGGACCCCCGCCCTCCCACTTCGGAAGAACCGACCCGTCGGTTGGAAGAAGCGGGCAGAACCATGACGTAGGAAGGCGGTGAAGATAGATTGAGCTTCCGCCCGCCCCCTGGATAGGAAGGAAAAGGGGAAACCTTTTGTTTTTTTGTTTGGAGGGTGTGCTCGCGGGCGCCCTTCGCTGCAATGGTAACTTTGCCCAGCCGCAGCCGCACTGGCGGGGACTCCGCCGACGCCAAAGTTCGAGCTCTTGCATGTCAAGGGCAATCCCAGTCCTCAGAGTACAGCCTGGTAGGGAGACAGCATTTGGCAGCCTGCAATCCTTTATTCGGATGGCAAGTCGCGCAATCTGCGAAACTCACGATAAAATCCAATATCCACGACAGTCGTGTATTCACTTATGGCACAAATGATACCGCAAACGAATTTGGCCACGTACGCAGCCGTCGCTGCAACGCACGGGCGGCAATGCACGCCAGGTGGTTAACAGGAAAGCCACTGAGAAGCGGCGGCGGCCAGACCGTCTACTTCGGCGATCGATACGATACGTACTAGGATGCAGAGAACCTTACCAGCGTCATGTTGCAATCTAACATGAGAATCATAATCAAATATGGCCTGCACGGGGGCCAATGACAGCAAGACCACAAAAAACACTCCCATGCCATCGTCCGGCAACCACCTTCTCAGTTCCTTGTGCCACGATCGATACTGAAGCAGTTGGGCAGGCGCCAGAAGTAGATTGGATTGTAATCTGGGAGTCCAAGAAGACCCACTTCCAACGACCGGCGCCTGAAGAGTCCCCGGGACTTCTTAGAAGCTCCTCAGGCCTTCCCTGAAGTTACAGAAAGCTCCTCCGAAGGCACGAGGGCTTCTGAGAAGCCCCGCCGCCTTCTGAGAAGGCCTCTTCCTTCTCACGTCCCCCCCAAGCGCGCCGCCGAATTTGGTTTTTGGGTCATAAATCAACGGCGGCGGCGGCGGCGGCGGCGGATTGGCCCCCAGTAGCTGCCCATCCAATTATCCCGGCAAAGCAACCTAACAGCGATATGTAGAAGCATATCTGAAAGCATTCCCCTTAAGATTCAGATGAAAATCCAGTTGTAGAATTCTGCTGTTCTCGCAGTCGTAGTCGCATTCGCGATGACAGTCGCAGCGGCAACGGCAGTCGCAGTCACAGCCTCAGCCTCAGCCTGCCTCAGCCTCAGCCTCAGCCTGCCTCAGCCTCAGCCTCAGCCTCAGCCTCAGCCTCAGCCTCAGCTCAGCCTCAGCCTCAGTCTGCCTTCAGCCTCGGCCTCAGCCTCAGCCTGCATCAGCCTCAGCCTCAGCCTCAGCCTGCCTCAGCATCAGCCTGCTTCAGCCTCAGCCTCAGCCTGCCTCAGCCTCAGCCTCAGTCTGCTTCAGCCTCAGCCTCAGTCTGCCTTCAGCCTCGGCTTCAGCCTCAGCCTGCCTCAGCCTCAGCCTGCCTCGGCCGCAGCATCAGCCTGCCTCAGCATTCAAAATGTGGCCCAGGAATGGAATTCTGGGAACTAGAAGAACACATAGTGGCCTACAGTTGGCTCCGGGCATTCAAAATCCGCCGACCCTGTCGGCGTGTGTGAGGGGCTTTTCCGTTCGAGACGTCATCCCCGTTGTTCGTTGGTCGTCGTCTCTGTCGTCCCCCTTCCTTGCGCCTCCCTTTCCGTGGGCCCGTCGCCACTCCCGTCCTCTTTCCCAGCAGGGGCCCCTGCTCAAGCGCGCCAGCCCAAATGAACTTCAGCAACGTCGCATTTGAGTCGAAGGGAAGCCCCTTCCCTTTGATCCCTCCCCCGCCGGGAGGGGGGGGGGGGGTAGCGGGGGGGTCCCGGGGGGGGGGCGCCACTCAGATACGACGCCCCCCCCGCGCCCAAGATGCCTCCAAGATGGCCCCAGAGTGCCAGACGGGGGGCCCGACGAGCCCTCGGCGACAGAGGCTCCCAGGAAGCCCCAAGATGCCCCCAAGAGGCCACCACGAGACCCCCAAGAGGCCCCCAGGAAGCCCCAAGAGGCCCCCCCCGCCACATACGAGAACGCATGGGTCGCCCTCCAGGGTCGGCGGCACCGGCCGTAAGGCCTTCGCATTCATGCCCAGGAATGGAGTTCTGGGAACTTGAAGAGCACGAAATGGCCTACAGTTGGCTCCGGGCATCCAAAATGTGGCCCGGGAATAGAGTTCTGGGAAATCGAAGAGCACGAAGTGGCCTACAGTTGGCTCCGGGCATCCAAAATGTGGCCCGGGAATTAGGCAGTCGAAGAGCACGAAGTGGCCTACAGTTGGCTCCGGGCATCCAAAATGTGGCCCGGGGATGGAGTTCTAGCAGCGCCAAGAGCGATTTTGCGAGGATGTCCAAAACGATTTGGGCTTCGGCGGCAGCCGCGGCGGCAGCCTGTCCGGGTCCCGCCCAGACCCCCCTGTGGAGTCATCTGCTGCTCTCTTTGGAGACCACTAGAAACCTATCAGCACAAGCTGTTAGGTAAAAACGACTGCTGAATATGGTGAGGCTCGGGCCAGACTCGGGTGTTACGTATGTGTTGGGAGGGCGGGTGGGAGTGAGCGAGACGGCTTGCGGGCGGGGAGGGTGTCTTGACCCATCCCCGTACCCCCTCCCCTGCCTGGACGGGGCCAGTCGCGGGTAGTTAGAGCGCCCAGAACGGACTCGGCGAGGAATGCAAAATCATTGGTTTTACTTAAAGAGTTTTGGCCCCATCTTGGCCTCTTGGGGGGCAGCGCTAAAAGGAGATCCCCTCTTCTTTAATCGATGTCCTCCAAGATGGCCCCAAGTAGCGCCCAGGAGGTTCCAAGATGGCCCCAGAACGGCCTCAAGAGGCCCCCAAGAGGCCCCCAGGAAGCCCCCAAGAGAACCCTAAACGGCCACAAGAGGCCCCCCCGAGGCACCCAAGACGCCCGAGAGCCCCCCAGGACCGCCAAGAGACCCCAAAGACGTCCCAAGAGGCCACCAATAGTCACCCAAGAAATATCCCAGCTCCGCGAGGCATCCAAAAGACCTCTGGCCTGTTTGCTTGCACTCCTCCTCCTGCTCATCCTTCCACCTCCTACTCCGTCTCTTCTCCCTCCTCCTCCTCCTCATCCTATTGATCCTCCTTCTCCATACTCCCTGATCCATCCATCCAGCCTCCTCCTCCTCCTCCTCCTCCTCCTCCCTCTATCGCACGGTTCGGCCATCCCCCCCGTTGCTCTCGCACTGCCCTGATCACCGCAATTCGCCTGGACACCGTTTCTGGATGTGCTGGTGGGGATGCGCGAAACGTCTAGAATTGTGTGACCCCCATCCGATACGACCACACTGGCACGCCCCCCTTCTCGCACTAACTTTGCCTGCCGAGGGGGACCGGGGCCATGGCTTCGAAGCCTGCGCTGAAGTTAAGTGCGATGCTGGGCTTGGATTGGGACAACCCTGATTGGGCGGCTATCGGCCAGCTATGGCATGTCATAACATGTTATGGGAAATATGGTATGATTATGTTGTTACAGGTTGAAAATGGGTTTGCTGCATTTCACGGGGACAGGCTGCCCTCTGGCATGAGCCCGTAACCTTCCTCACTCCATCCCGCTGAAGAAACTCACGTGTATGACAATGAATGCCACGAGTGAAACTATGGGGAGCGTCAACTAACTCTTCATGCACCCATCGTCGAACGGACCGCCACCCATACCATCAAACTTGCTCTCGAGATACGTCCTGGCAGCCATCAGGAAGAGCCAGCAAGAGTACATCACGAGCATCGGCAGTCCAACGAAGATCCACCTCCCACCGCTCACCCACCAGCTGCGAACCTGAGTTGCGGCGAGACTCGAACATCATTAAGTATTTGTAGAGGCAGACGATGATGAAACTCGCCAAGAATAGCAGCTCAAGCGATCCAAAAAGGGCGCCATAGATGTCGGTAGCCCTGTGGAGGATGTCGATATCCTTGAAGATGCAGCCCACGACCATCGACAGTAACAAGCCTGTCAGCAGAGCATAAACCTTCAACATCTTCTCGAGGTCGTCATATGACGGAGGCGAAACGGTGAAAGCAAGCCCCACGATTTGGATTTGCTTGCAACATTTGCTGCAACAGTCAAAGAAGCCCATATCGCCGGGGAATCAAGAGCCGAGGTCCCTCGCTGGCGCCAGGAGATGCCTCCACGATGAAGCGGGTGCGGGCAAGGCGCCCTTGCGCCCAAAAGGCTTGAGCCAGAATGGCAACGGGGCCGGCTTGGGCCATTTGGGGGCCGCCTGGGAGCCCGCCGGACTGTCGTGAGCCGACCTTGAGGCCTCATGGGCCGTCTGCGGCCGAGCACCCTGGGCAACCTTGAGGCGTGACATCCACTCTTCCCGGCCGTGTGCCCAACAGAAAGAGCCAACAATCCGCCCTCATTCTACGCACCCCGACAAGCGAAGTCATCTGGTAAACGCACCCAAGGAAGGAACTGAACACGGCAAGGCTGTTTTGTGAACGCCCAAGGCCGCTTAGTAATCGGGGATCTTCTGACCCGGGTCAATGGAGACCCGGGTCAATCAGGCCTTGCAGAATCCTGGAAGAGCCTGCAAGATCCTGCGCACAAACCCAGGTCAACGCGAAGGATCCTGCAAAATCCTGCAGGATCCTGCACCCAAGCCCGGGTCAATGCGACCGTGCTCCTACAGGATCCTGCAAGATCCGGCGCTCTGGCTAACCCCCGTTTGCCTGGACCCCCGCCTCTTGAGCCCCGAAATAAAAACCAGTTATCGGGGCGGGGGTGGTTTTCGCTCGCATGACAATAGAAGATGCCCCCCCCAGCAATAGGCCACACGAAAGGGCGGCCCTGCGCAAGCGTGACCCTTCGTGCGCGGCTGCAGGAGGCCCAGATCCAAACGCGCAAGCCGGTGTAGGGGGGACCTCTCAAGACGAAGCCAGGGCGAGAACGAATCGGGCGCCACGGCCTTCTCAGAGCGTTCCGGAACGCTCTGAGAGAGTTCCGGAACTCTCTGGAATGGATCTGTCCTCGTCCTAGCTCCGTCCGACCTCTGTAAGCCCGCACCACTGGACGCTCTGGAATGGATCTGTCCTCGTCCTAGCTCCGTCCGACCTCTGTAAGCCCGCACCACTGGTCGCTCTGGCGAAGGGTCGCTCTCGCGCGTGGCCGACAAATAACAAGCCTCGAACTGATTATCTCTATCACTGAGACGGGCACGCAAAAAGCGATGACGATCTCGGGGAACAGCACTCAGAGACTGAGGGAATCCTTAAGATCGGCATCAAGGTGAGGTGATGCCAAGCATACAGTGGAGACCAGTCCACAAGAAACCTCACACCAGAGACCCAACCCTGGCACCCCAGGACGTCCATTGACTTTTGGTTTGGGGACGTCACGCTTCCACAGAAAAAACAATCGAAACCCAAGAAACCCAGGGACCCCTGGAGGCAAGCAGGGTGTGTCTTGGCATGGGCCCCCGCTGTAGGCATAGGATTACGTCGGGCATGTCCTACTTCAGGCGGACTTTGACGAACAATCAAAAATACCCCCAAAAATGCTGAAGCATAGTCAAAAGGAGTCAAACAGAATCGTCTCCAGATTATTTGGTTGACTGCTTTTGAATACTCCTCCTCTAGAGGGACGTGCCCGACTCAAGGATAGGGATATGCTTCAAACTGGTAAACAGCTCGGGTCTCCGACGGCCGTTCGGGACGATTCTGGCACTCCCAGAACGCCCTCGGCGAGGCGCGGCTTCTGACAAGCATTCCAGGGCTGGAAAGTTGCCGAAAAACTATGAAAACGCCAGAAAATCTCGAACCTCGAATCCGAACCCTCGAACCTTAGAACCCTTGGCATGGGTCTCCACTATGGGGGTAGGGACATGCATCAAACTGATGAACAAAGGCGGTCCGCCGCTGCCGCGCCTGCGGAAGCCCCGCCCCCCCGAAAGATCGCGGGCCTCGGCGGCGGGGGCGGGTGACCCGCGCAGCGAGGCGGCGCGGAGGGCCTGCGCCTGCTGCGCCGCGGGGGCGCTGCCTGCGCCGCTGTGGCGGGGGGGGCCTCCTCCTCCTCCTCCTCCTCCTTCTCATCGACTTCTCCTGCTCCTCCTCCTCTTCCTCCTCATCTCCTCATCATCCTCTTGTTGCTCCTCCTCCTCCTCCTCCTCCTCCTCCTACACTCCCTCTCCTTATCCATAATTCCTCCCTGTCGCACCCCGAGGCCAGTCGGAAGGGCGAGCGGATCCGCCCTCAATCCGTGAAACTCTTAAAACATGTAAGACGGATGTACGCGGCGCTGAAGCGGGAGCCACATTTTGGAAGCCACCCCCCTTCAAGCCTTGAAACTCTCGCAGAAAGTTCAGACCAGTGCGCCCTGCGCTAAGGTGAGAGCCACATGTTACATGTTGATAACCACCTGCCTTCCATATGTATAATTGTTGCTTATTTTCAACTTCAAGATCATCAGTGGTAAGGAAGTCTCAGGCGGAGCGCACGGCCCGCTCTTCCGACTGGCCTCGGGGTGCGATTGGGAGGAGTTGTTGGCAAGGAGATAAAAAGGGGCAGGAGGAGGAGGAGGAGCAACAGGGGGAAGAGGAGGATAATGAGGAGAAGCAGGAGTCGAGGAGAAGCAGTCGAGAAGGAAGAGGAGGAGGAGGAGGCCGTTTTCAAAATGTGGCTCTCGCCTGAGCGCCGCGACCATTCGTCTCAAAACAGTGTAAGAGTTTCAAGGATTGAGGGCGGTTCCTTGTCAACATGTGGCTCTCGCCTCAGCGCCGCGTACATTCATTTAGACACTGTGTAAGAGTTAAACAGAGCCCCATGGTCACATACTAGAAATGGCGTTTGGAGGGATTCAGGATTGTCAGGACGCAACAGTTACGTTGACTTGCGGTGGTGAAACCCCCGTCACGGTGATCTGACACGATCCAAGATCGTCACAACGCAACGGTCAGTCTGATTCCATTGTGTTTTGGGCGCCTCAGGGTCTTCACACGGTTGTGTCCTAACGGGGCACTCCCTTCAGTGTAAAGAAATGCTTGCTGGGGCATATGAAGAGGGAGCTCGGAGGGAAGGCTTAGTCCGACATCGTTGAGGGGTCTCGGGTTTACACTGGTCCTCCTCCTCCTCCTCTTCCTCCTCGATCCTCGCTGCTGGCGGCCTGTCGGCTCTCGAAGAGGTTTAACCGTGCCCTGAACAGAGAGTCCAGGGCGGAAGAAAAGCTTCCTCCTCCACCGCCTCATCATCCTCCTCCTCCTGCCCCTCCTCCCCAATCCTCCTGCCTCTCCTGTTCCTTCCTGCTCTCCTCGATTCTCCTCCCTCCTCTCCTCGGTTCTCGTCTTTGCTTCCTCCTCTTCCTCTTCCTCCTTCATCATTCCTCCTCCTCCTTTCTCCCTCATCCTTTCTTCCGCCGTCCTTCTTCATCCTCCCTCCTTCCTCCTCCTTTATCCGCCCTCCTTCCTCCTTCATCGCTCCTGCTTCACCTCCCCCCCTCCCCCATTTCCCCCTTCCCCATTCCTCCTCCTTCCTCGTCGTTCCTCCCTCCTCCTTCCTCATTCCTCATCTTGGTCCTCCTCCTCGTGCTCCTCCGCCTATCCCCCTATCCCGCTTATCCCCCGATCCCCCTCTTTTCCCTTTCCCCCTTGTCCCCTTTGCCCTCCCCCCCGTTCCACAATTACTCCATATGAAAATACTCTCCCTCTTCCCCTGATGGCGTCCGGGTGATGGCCGCGCACCCTCCGCGTACTGTTTTTTTACACACAGGATGCCCGGGAAATCCCGGGAAACGACTCTCGCTGAGGCGCCGGCGTTATTTTTTCAAAATGCTGCTCTCGTTGAGGCGCCGGCCTCATTTCTGCTCCCGAATCGTTCCGAATCGTGCTCCCGCTGCAGCGTGGGCCTCATTTTCGGATCGGTGTTTGGCCTCCGTCGTTCAGGATGGCGTTCTCGCCCCAGCGCGGGCCTTTTTCTCGCGCGCCCATCCGCCCGCCACCACCGCGCCGCACCGCCACCACCACCACCACCACCACCACCCACCACCACCACCACCACCACCACCACAACACCACCACCAGCACCAGCACCAGTACCAACACCACCACCACCAGCACCACCACCATCACCACCAGCCACCACCACCACCATCACCACCACCACCACCACCACCACCACCACCACCACCACCACCCCACCACCACCACCACCACCACCACCACCACCACCACCACCACCACCACCACCACCACCACCACGACAACCACGCACACACGCACGCACGCACGCACGTGCACCACCACCCACTACGCACGCGCGCGCGGAGCCACAGGTCCGCTACGACACGCGTCCGCGGATAGAGAAAATCAGCGCCATGGTAAGGGATGGGAGGGAGGGGTAGGACGTCAGATATGACGCGAGCGCACCTAGCTTGCCTTCACCCCCTCTCCCTCTTCCCCTCCCCCTCCCCCACATCCTCCTCCTCTTCATCCTCCTCCTCCTCATCCTCCTCCTCCTCCTCCAACTCCTCTTCCTCCTCCTTCCTCTTCCTCCTCCTCTTCCTCCTCCTTATCCTCCCTCCCGGGCCCAAATTCGTCCTGCATGACCTTTTTGGGAGTCTGGCCTCCTCCTCCTCCTCTTCTTCCTCCTCCTCATCTTCCTCCTCCTCCTCTGCCTTCTCGCCCACCCTCCTTCCCTTGCTCCCTTTCTCATCCTCCTCATCCTTATCTTCCTTCCTTCTTCTCCTCCTCCTCCTCCTCCACCTCCTCGTTCTCCTTAACCTCCTCTTTCTCCTCCTCCTCCTCCTCCTCCTGCTATACCTCCTCCTGCTCCTCGTCCTCCTGTTCCTCTTTATCCACCTCCCTCCCACCCTCCATCTCTCTCGCCTCCTCCTCCTCCTCCTCCGCCTCCTCCTCTTCCTTCTTCTCCTCTTCCTTCCTCCTCCTCCCCCTTCGTCATCTCCTCCGAATCCATCTCCTCCTCCTCCTCCTCCTACTCATCCTCATCCTAATCCTCATCCTCATCCTCATCATCATCCGCATCCTCATCCTCATCAGCATCAACTTAATCATCAACTTCATCATCATCATCATCATCATCATCATCATCATCATCATCATCATCATCATCATCATCATCATCATCATCATCATCATCATCATCATCATCATCATCATCATCATCATCATCATCATCATCATCATCATCATCATCATCATCATCATCATCATCATCATCAGCATCAGCATCAGCATCAGCATCAGCATCAGCATCAGCATCAGCATCAGCATCAGCATCATCATCATCATCATCATCATCATCATCATCATCATCATCCTCATCCTCATCCTCATCCTCATCCTCATCCTCATCCTCGTCCTCATTATCAATCTC